TGCACGGCGCACCCTTCAAGTTCAACTCGAAGAACGCCAACGCCCACAAGGGCTTCGTCTTTGGAACGGCCTTCTCGCCTGATGGCAGCCAGCTCGTAACAGTGGGTGCCGACAGGCGGATTCAACTCTACGACGGAAAGACGGGCGAGCCTACGAAGTCGATTGGCGAGGGAGAACACACTGGTAGCATCTTTGCCGTTTCATGGTCTCAGGATGGCACCAAGTTTGTCACAGCAAGCGCCGACCAGTCTGTCAAGCTCTGGGATGTGGAATCAGGCAAGGCTACGCAGACGTGGAAGTTTGGAGACGGCGTCAGCATCGGCGACCAGCAAGTCGGTGTTGTCTTCCCACACGGCAGAACCGACGGCTTGATCATCAGCTTGAACCTGAACGGTGACTTAATCTACCTGAATGAGGGCAGCGACAAGCCTAGCAAGATTGTCCAGGGCCACAACAAGAGCATCACGGCTTTGGGTGCGTCGTCTGATGGCAAGGGGCAGACACTGTGGAGCGGTAGCTTCGACGGGCGGGTTTGCCAGTGGGACGTTGCCACTGGTACTGGCTCGGTGGTTGACGGACAAGCGCACACAAATCAGGTCACCCAGTTCAGCGCCGAGGCGGGACAGACCTACAGCGTTGGATGGGACGACCACCTGAGGATAGTAGACGAGTCAGCTAACACGTTCGCGGGAGAGGCCCTCAAGCTTGCTGCCCAGCCCAAGGGCGTAGCCGCCACGGATGGAAAGGTGTACGTGGCCACCATTGAGGGTGTTGATGTCTACCAAAAGGGTCAGCTCCTCTCCGAGAACCGTCTCGGTTTCACTCCCGGCACTGTGGCTGCCTACGGTTCGACGGTGGCCGTAGGATCTGGCAACTCTGTCAAGATCTACGCTGCGGACGGCTCAGGCAAGCTTTCCGAGACAAAGTCGGTCGACAAGTCGACGGCTTTGATTTCTTGCCTGTCGTTCTCTAGGGACGGTCAGTACCTCGCCGCAGGCAACCAGATCGGCAAGATCGTTGCCTACAAGACTGCTGACTGGGAGGTTGCGACGGACCGTTGGTCTGCGCACACGGCGAGGGTCACGTGCATTAGCTGGAACGATGCCGCAACGCACGCCGTCTCTGGAGCTCTGGATACCAATGTTTGCGTGTGGAGTCTGGCCAAGCCCGGAAGCCGTGTCAAGGCTCTCAACGCCCACAAGGATGGTGTCAACGGTGTTGCGTGGGTTGAAGGGGGCAGCAAGATTGCGAGTGCCGGAGGCGATGCTGCGATCAAGGTTTGGACCGTGGCTGGACTGCAATAGTCGGTTATGCCGACAGTTTTGTAGATGTTTTCATTAGGTGATGGATGAATAAATGAAAAGCGATATGATGTTATCTCGACGATGAACGCCGCTCGAATTTGGGTATCTCATGTCTAAGGGGCAAGCTTGTTGCTACAGTGTTCATGGCATGCACTCCACTTCGACCATCCTCTCTCCTATAATCTCATAGAGTATTCGTCATAGTACTCTTCTCAATCTTTTCCAATCATGATTCGTCTGGGAATGTGAAAGGCTTCCAGTGTTGATAAGACTCCTAGCCCATCGTCATCTGCGCCACCTCCTCCCGCTGAACCTCCTCTCCAGCACCGCCGCCGTCGCTCACTTTAGACGCCTCGGGCGCAGCAGCAGCAATACTAGGTTCGTCAGCGTAGCGGTTCATAAGCGCGCCGCTGACCTGCCAGACATCCACGTCCACCGTGTCCGCTCCCGTTGTCGCGACAGGATGAGGCCGGTACTGCTGCTCCGTCTTATCGAGCTGCAGGGCCAGCTGGTCCAGGGCCCACGCGATGTCGCCGAGGCGGCCCCAGATCCCGTAACCCAGGCGCTGGATCTCTTCGGCGAGCTCGACCTGGTGGTTGTCCTTCAGGGTTGGGTTGGGGACCACGACGAGGGGGACGCTGACGCGCATTCCGTCGAGAATGGTTCCCGTGCCTGGAAATATCTCGAATCAGCTTACACATACACACACATATGTATGTGTATAGGCGGATACATATAATGAAGACTATCGAGTCACTACGCGATGGATGATCCCCAGCTTACCTGCATGACAAATGACCACACCAGCCTCACGCACACCTGCCTGCGCTCTACACTTGACCATCTCGGTGGTCAGGTCATCGACAAAATCAAAGGCGGTGATTTCGATTCCTGGGTATTGATTCAGAAGCGGAGGTAGCATCTGGCGGGAACATTCTGCGTAGTCTTTGCCGCATTGAAGTGTGAGGTGCGTGTAGCGATTCGAGGTGACGTGGTCCAGGAAGGCGGCGGAGAGGACTTCAGTAAGGAGCTGGGTGAAGCGGGCTGTTGCGCCTACTGTTACGAGACAGTGCCGCTCGGGGGGTGTGGCTGGTTGTGCGGCCATGATGTGTTTGCGGCGCACCGTTTGTGCTAAGCGCCGATGAGAGACGCGGGCTTTTGTGGTCGAGGTTGGGATGTTTATGAAGAGACGTCTGTATGACTGGATGGCGATTTGAGGTTGTATTGAAGCTCTCACGGAAAGTCACTTCCACAGGCACAGGCACCAAAAGGCACCTTCTATTGGATTGCCTTTGGTGACGTTCGGCCGCTGTGGCACAGCCGATTGGCCGTGGGGCAGGCAGATCGGGTGTTGTTGCGGCTGCTGGCTCCTTCAAGGCCGGGATCTACGCCCTGGCCAGGAAGCTAGAGCCGTCCTTGGCTACCCGTCTAGCTGGGAACCCTTAATCATCGTTGAGGTCCAAGGCATTTTCAACTTCACACGTTCCTTTCTTATCATTATGAATTCGTCTCCAGGGTATCTATTTTACTGCCCTCCTACTCTCTAGGCCCCTGCTTCGATTCTACCTTCGTGTACTGATTGTCTGCCTTCTGAAATCTCCAAAATGGCTCAACACCCATCTCTTGGAATCTCTTCTTCTCGTACACCTTCGTTACCCCCCAGCTGCTCACAAACATGACCACTACGATGCCAATTATACAAACGCCGGCGATAAGTGGCGCAAGAATCGAAAAGACTGTGAAGCCATAACTCACACTTTGAAACGCGCTGTCACCAACGAGTCTGTCCGTGGCTAGGCCAACCTGCATCGCTGTCAAGACGATAACAACATAACCGAGCATCGCCGCCAGCGTTGCAAAGTTGTCCCTGATCAAATCTTCGTACACGGCGTGAGAAACTACCTTGGAATACCCCCGGAGCAGGTATCCCAGGCGGATGCGGTAAATCTTGTTCAGCCGACTGAGACGAAGCTCGCCGTACCAGTACCGCGGGTTGACGGACGCATAACAATGGTTCTGCGCGATCTGGGCCGATATTGCCTTCCACTGGTACCAGTTCATCCGATCCGGGAGCAGGCCTCTTTCGACGGCTATGCGGAAGTCGCTCTCGTACGCGATGAGGGCTGTGTAAGTAAAGAGGAAACCGAGCGCGCAGGCGACGAGCTGCTGCTTCCGTGGATCAGACTGATTGCCCGATGCTTCGACCAAGTTGGCGGCCCAGAAGTCTGAGCTTAGCAACCACCGTGGTATCGGCTTGACGAAGATTCGGTTCTTGGCCCAGACGAGATGCAGCTCGGGGTTCTCTGTGATGTGTATCTCGCGCGATATTGTCTGGTAATGGAGAGACCGGGGCGGCATTGGGCGGCCACAAATCCAGAGGAGATCCTGGACATCGTTGATTCGTTGGACGAGCAGCTCTCGTTCCAGAAATTCAATGTCGTCGGCTTGCGGCACGGTGATGTGATCGTGCTTGGTTCGGCTCGTTGCCGGTAGAAGATCGCTCCAGTCTCTTAGCTCCTGCACTGTCACTGCGGGATTGACGGCGTCATCGAGAACCCGGACGGTAAAGGGCACAGACGACTTGTCCATGGTGCGACTCGAGAAACTTGACATGTGGACGGTGAATCTTGCTTTATGCTGGTCTTCGGCGTTGTCTGGTCCCACAACTTTCGGTCCCGACGCTCTTTTCTGATCTTGGCGAGAGATATCACGGTCCTCCGAGGCGCAGTCTATCAGACCGTCACTATCGGGAAGCGGGATGTTGGTGACAGGCCTTTTTGCTTGCAGAAGCGCCCGCAATAGGAACGACTCCAACAGTGGTAAAAGCCCGATCGAAAATAGCCAACGGCGTGATTAAGAACCTTTCCAAAAAGCCCGATTTGGCTGGTAAAAAGAGTAGGCAGCGGAATTCCAGGGGTTCCAACAGTGGCGGTCCCCTGTCATTTTAAGATGACTTGATTGCCTAGAGCCTTTTAGCCTGCAGCAAGCAAACCGTGTTGAGATTCCGAATACAGACGAACCCGAACTCGCTACTGCAGCGTGAGACGAGTTGCTTACTTGTGGGACAGCGCTACAAAATTAGAGGTGGCTTTGATTCAGCTGAAAGACACTATTGGCGCAGTCGGACGATCGTTGGCATCGCAGGATTACAATGCATGGGGGTGGCTGACACCGCTAAGGTCGTTTCGGGCCGCCCAGTTGCAGGGAAGGGGGCTTATTAGCATTTTGGACCCCAAAGTGGCAGCCCTGTCAGGCTATGCTTATTACGCCGGTGCCTAGCTCCGTGGTCGGTTCGTATTCAAAGCTTGTTGATCCCCAGTTTCTCGGAAGTCGCGGTTGCGTTGTCGTTTTCTCAGGTTCATTTCGTTGTGTATGTTTCTTCGCAGCGAGTGGCCATCATCATGTCTATCCGCCGCACGGGAACGAGAAGGGTGCCTCAGGGCGCCCCTGGGGCTCCGAAGCCCAAGACGACATATCAGACGGTTCAGCAGGGCTTCAGGGAACTTTACAATCCTCAGAAGGAGACTGGGTCTTCCATTGATGTTGAGTATGTCTTGATCTGCTTAGGTTGTGAGTTGTGGTGGTATCTCGAGAGTCTCACACAATCGATAGCGTCGTCTTTGTACCTGGACTAGGTGCCCATCCGGAGGACAGTTGGAAGTCGGAAGCCGGCTTTAACTGGGCAACCGGAATCTATGAGGGCGTTACGAAAAACTCGTCTGAATCTACCAGCAAAAAGGATGGCCTGGCGAGGGACTTCCCCAAGGCTCGCATACTTTTGTATCAGTATGAATCAGCATGGGTTGGGGATCTCAAAGTCAAGACTTTCTTGAGAGACATTGCCAAGTCAATGTTGGAAGGGCTGCAAGCAAATCGTGAAGTAGGTCGATCATGCTGAGGTCTGAATCGCGAGCTTGGTCTAATCTGAGACTTAGAAAATAAGAGATCGTCCCATTGTCTTTATCGGACACAGCATGGGAGGCCTAGTTATTGCAAAGGTAAGAACCCGGCTACAACAAATTCAACTAATGATGTGAGTTGAGGCTTACGGAATGTCAAGGCTATCACGCTTGCAGCAGAAACATACAGGGAAATCTTCCCAAGGCTGTTTGAGTGCATCGCTGGATGCGCCTTCTTTGGAACGCCGTTCGGCGGTGCTCAAGTTGCCGCTATCGCCTCCATGCTGGGTAATATAGGCGAACAACTTGGGTACACCAAATCGTCGGCATTGGTGGATATGATGAAGCCCGGAGACGAGAGCTTGAACGAGCTCCGAGGCGACTTGCTGCGGTTAGCTGCCAAAATGAGCCCACACGTCCAGCTCTTTTGCTTCTACGAGAATCACCCAACGGACTTTACACAAGCAAAGCTAGGTCCAACCATGTCGAAAATCGCAAAGACGTTTGTTTCCAAGAAGCTGCAAGACTTCGTCTCCAGAGAGTCGGCGACATTACCTGGAATCCAGGAGATGGGTCTTGCCGCCAACCATCGAGATCTCGTAAAGTTTAGCGACTTCAAGGACCCTCGGTACCAACTCGTCAGAGAGCCGCTCAAGAGACTCATTCATGGCGCCAATCTCGTAGCCAAAAACAGACTCAACTCAACCCGTGGAATCGAGCCAGAGGTTGTCAACAATGTCATGGAGTTGCTGAACGGCGGTCAAGTTTCGAAGAAGCGCAAAATGCTTGCGCCTCAGTTTCCGCCATCAATCTGGATTCCCAAGGCGGAGGCATACTTGGAGTGGTTGCAAGAGGACCACGAAGCGGGGAGCGCGATACAGAAGCACAGAGGACAGGCACTGTACATTCGCGGTCCAGAGGGAAGAGGAAAGACGCGAGCGACTATGGCGGCCCTCCAGGATATCGATAAAATCATCTCAGCCGACGAAAAGGTGAGCCATGGGCGAGGACCTGCCCTCGTTGCGTACTTCTTCTGCGACCCGTCTTCGGACTTTTTGACTGCTGAAGACTTACTCAAGTCGTTGGTACGGCAGCTCATCGGCCAGCAAGCCACCTTGTCTGTGTACGCGAAGCACTTTGTGAAGAAGAAGGGCGAAGACTCGTCAAAGACTTCGGCGAATCTCACGGTAGAGAACCTGTGGCAGACTCTCCAGGATATTCTCACAGACGAGTTCATCGGTCGCAGAGTCTACTTCGTCATCAACAACTTACACGTTCTGCCTGAAGATGCCGAGTCCACTGTTAAGTTGATGCGGTTCCTCAACGCCGAGCTGCAAGAACTCAAGACAGAGGACGACAAGCGAGTTCCTACCAGATGGTTTCTCACTAGCAGAGAAGTTCATCACGTGGAAGACTCGTTAAAGGTGGACGGAATCCAACTCATCGATCTCGAGGATGACAAGTACTGCGACCAGGTTCAGCGGGAGCTGCGCAAGGCGGCACAGGAGAAGGTGCAAAAACTCGGCGAGACCAAGAATTACAATAAGGCGCTCACATACTATGCGAGCAGTCTGATTGGGAAGAGGGCATCCAACAGTCAATGGATCAAGCTTTCCTGCATGCAGCTTGCGGAGCTCCCTAAAGCAGAAAGTGATCTCAAGATCAGACACATGCTTGAGGGTATGCCTCAGGAGCTTAAGGCTCTCTTGGACGCTGCGTGGCTCCAAATTTTTCAATCCAACGAAAAGGAGACCGACAAGATCAAGGAGCTGCTGCGAACACTCGTTTTGACGTTTGAAGAGCCTACCGAGGATGAGCTTGTTGTTTTGGCGGGCTTCCCTGCCACGGAAGCGGGAAAGGCCGAGCTTCAGGATTTGGTGAAGAAGTGCAGGCCGTTGTTGACGGTGACGAGAAGCGGCAAGTCTGAAAATACCATTGGCTTCATGGACAGGGTCGTCAAAGAACATCTTTTGGAAAAGGAGACCTCGAGGAAGACGCTGGGCATGTCGAATGACGAAAGCAAGTGGCAGCAGGGCATCATTGCGCTCCGGTGTTTGGCGCACATCAAGGAAGCGTTCAACTTCCCTGAGGAAGTGAAGCCTGTTGTAGAGGCTCAGGAGGAAAACGAAGAGGCAGAGACCCAGTCTACAAAGGACGAGGACGAGGAGAGTGAAGGATCTGAAGCAGATGGGGAGGAGAGCGCCGCGGCTGATTCTGAGCAAGATGATTCGGACAGCGACACAGACTGGGACGACGATGAATCCACCTACGGCTACCAAGACGACGAGGCCGAAGAGGCGAGAATACTGGCCGAAAAGGTGCTGCCCTACCCCGTCAAGCACTGGCTACACCACGCCAGCAGAGCTACGCTGGAGATTGCGGAGGATCTCAGCGAGGATGACTTTTGGAAGAAGCCCGAGTCTTTGATTCGGTACCGGTGGCTCGTCGTCTACATGTCCATGACGAAAGTGCTCGATGGCTTCGAACCCAGGGAGTTGACTGCTTTGCATATCGCCGCTGCGGTCGGATTCAAGCAGCTTGTCTCCGCGCTCATCCAGAACGGTCATGAGCACGAGATTAACATGAGGGACAATCTTGTCAATACACCTGTAAGGCTACACTATATTCCATTCTTGAGCCATTGCCAGCTTGGAAATTTTGACTTGTTACTAACATTCGTGGCAGCTTCATTTCGCCGCATACATAGGCAGACCAAACATCGTGGACGAGCTTCTCAAAAGAGGCGCCAGTATCGACGATGGTATCGATATCGGCGAGCAGACCCCGCTACACATGGCGGCATTTGCTGGCCACGTCAAAGTCATGGAAAAGCTCATCAAGAGGGGTGCGAATGCCAACGCTATCGCCAGTGATGTCGGCCCAGTCATGAATGCCGCCATTTCTTCCGGTAGTCCAGATGCCGTCAAGCTACTCGTCGAGAAGCAGGTTTCGCTATCCGTCGAGGACGAGAACATCGATTCGCCTCTGGCGTTGGCTGGTCTCCACGCAGACCTGTCCATGTTTGAATACCTCACGCAAACCTACGCTGACAAGCTCCCGGCCAAGGAGTTCGACAAGGCCTTCATCAAGGCCGCCGTCTCTGGCAGAGTGGACGTGTTCAACAAGCTATTGACTTACTCTCATCCTCAAGAGTGCTTCCAGACTGCGCTAAAGGTGGCGGCAGAGGAGGAGAATTGGGACATTGTTATGATACTTCTGGAGCAGCGCAGAGGCCTCGACTGCAACGACCTCTTCCTTAGTGCGGCGACTACGGCGGAGCATCAAGATAAAGTCTTGGAGGCCGTCTGGAAATACACCAACGGAAACATTAGACCGGAGACTCTCAACGAGAGTCTGTATGAGGCTACTGATCTCGAGAAAGAGTCCACAGTCAGGTTGTTGATTGATGACTTCAAAGTCAATCCTAATGCCACTGGAGAACAGTAAGCTACCTAACACACTACACCATTATGTGAGGTCCAGACTAACAACGTTCAGTTACGGGACTGCCTTGACTGCCGCAGCCTATGATGGCACCCTCAAGATCGTCAAACTGCTCCTGGACAGAGGTGCCGATGTTGACGCACCAAACGGGTGGGCTATCCAGGCCGCCGCTGCGGAGGGCCACTACGACGTGGTCGAAGAGCTTCTCAACCGAGGTGCCGATGTCAATGATCTTACCACAAACGAGAACTTCCCGCAAGGGACGGCTCTACAGGTAGCTTGCGAATCGGGAAAGGTGGAAATCGTCAAGCTCCTGCTTGACCGTGGCGCCAATCCCGACCTCGGCACTGGAGAAGACACCTGCCCGATCATCGCCGCTGCCATGAAAGGAGAGCAGACGATTCTCGAGCTCCTTGTAAAAGCCAAGGCCGAAGTCAATGTCTTTGGAGGCTGGGACAATTCGACAGTCTTGATCAACGCCGTCATCAACCTTCCGGTCGAGTCACTGCGCGTTCTTGTGGATGCGGGCGCCGACGTCAACCTGGCTGACCAGGAAGCCGACACGCCCTTGATTGTTGCTGCTCGGGAGGGCGATGCGGACAGCGTGAGGTTTCTTTTGGATAATGGCGCCGACATCTTCCACGTCAACGAGGACAACGAGAACGCTCTTCAATCAGCCATACAGTACGGAGACGATGAGGACTGCACAGCAGTCCTCGTGGAACGCGTCTCAGAACTCATGGCGGCTTTGAGCAAGGCTATGAAGAATGGTAACATAGCCGTAACCGAAGTGATCCGCAGCGCTGCCATTGCTCACCAGGGTCTTAACTACGACGACGAGGAGGATGTCAAGTCGGCACAGAGTCAAGATGATAAGCAGCCAACGAGCTCCGAGGACAGAGACGACGTCTTCGACGGAGACAATGACAAGGGCAGCGACGAAGACACCCCTCGGACGGAGTCATTCCCTAACAGTGCCAAGAGAGTTGACGACGCAGCGTCTGAGGAAAGCGCTTACCGGCCCGTGAGAGAGCTATCCGAGGAGCTTGAGGCCGCCCTCGTCACCCAGGTCTCGTTGCTTCAGAACTTCACCTCCCCACCGCCCCGACCAGAGAAGGTGCCGGAGCGAGAGCAGCCCGTGGAGATGCCGCCAACGACGATTGCGGAGCTGCCCTCCCAGCGCAGATACTCTCAGCAAGTGCAGCTGGAGGAGCAATTGGGCCACTACGAATTCGACCAGCTCACCCGCATGGACTCCTACTCGAAGCCCGCCTTTGTCAAGCAGCCGACGCTGCAGTGGGCCACGCAAGCTGAGAGCCTGCCTGCCAGTGAACCACTCCTCTCGCCCGGCCAGGCCCCGATCCGACGGAAGCCGGCGCCCAACACGACGACGTTCGGCGCATCGTACACCCAGAACGCCTCGCCCGCGCCGTCAAACGTGTCAAACAGCCAATTCTCACCGCCAGCACCGTCGGCCACGCTCCGCAGGGCGAGTACGGACCAACGCCCCTCGTACCAGAACTCGACTTCGTACCCGGGAGCGCCTACGTACCAGCAGGGAGCGGGATACGCCGCCAGTCAGACGCACCTCGCTTCTTCTTCGCAGCCACCCGTGGCCACGGCCAACCTTGGCCGGATGTCGGTGGATTACCACGCCCCGTACGACCCGTCGTCGTTTGACAGACCGACGCACAGCCCGGGGACGACGCCGCCGCAGAAGACGCAGCCGTTCCCGGATTTGCCGTTCCAGCCGCCGGGCGCGTGGCAGAATAGCCCGCCTCTCGCGGGTAGTCAACAGCAGCAGTCGTATTTTGGTCCGCTGAGTGGATCGCCGCCTCAGCAGCAGCAACAACAGCAGGAATGGGTTGGTCAGGATGGAAGGTGAGTTTTCCCTCGACACGAAATATCGTCATTTGATGAAAGCAAAAGCTAATGTTTTGCGTAGCAGGCCTGATATGAAATCCCATCGCTCCTCTTTCTTGGGGATGAAGAATACATTGGATAAGGCGAAGCAGTTCAGCACTGGGATCATGAACCGGAGACCGTCCGGATTTTGAGTGACGTGACGCAGTTGAAGGGATAATTTGATGGAGTGACGTTAATTGAGATACGCGGGGAGCTTATGATACCATAATGAAAGTTTCAATATAATCGTCAAAGTATTGTTCGTGCACTCGAGTGTGGAAGAGGATTCAGAGCGTTTTTGTTGGACTAGCTGCAAAAATTCGAGAAGTATCAACACAGAAGAGACTGCTTTCAGTTCGATGAACATACTTTGTATCCGCCTGACCGCAATAATGAACGAGTAAATGATGCCTTTGTATAATTTAGCTACCTGTCACCAGCTGGCGTTCTTGACGAAGCCTGATGCTGAAATTATTGAATGTTCTTACGACATATCATTGAATCGACTTATACTCATGGCTGTGGCGTTAGCAATCGCGAGACCCACATATGTGGCTTGATGAGTGGATGTGGCTGGAGCTTGATCCAAAAATTTCCGGGGACAATTCCCAACTGGCCATCTTAGCAGAGCGCGATCAATTCCAGGAAAACCAGCATTGTCCTTTGGCTAATGTGAACGGAACCACGCCCAACATGGCAGCAACAGGGCAAGCATTCCGACTCTGCGTCCGCAGCAGTCGTCGGATACCATCGACGCCGCGCATCGCCGCAGCCCGCACGACGACGACGGCTACGACGACCCAGAGACGAGCCTTTACCGCCAGCACCACGCAACAGGCACGGAGAGAACGCGAAGAAATCTATGAAGACCCGTACGACCGCAAGCGCGAGACCGTTGAGGAGCTTGTGGCGCGCCTTAAGCCCGAGGAGGTGAAGAAGCTCCAGAAGCTCCAGAAGCAAGACCCCGAGTTCCAGTCCATGTCGGTGGCCGAGGCCTTGGAGGCGCGGATGGCGAAGCAGGGGCGGCTCCCGCCGTTGAAACCGACAAGGACGCCGAGGCAGAATGTTCAAAGGAATTCATTTTGGTACGATGATGATGACCCAACGGCGCCGATAGATCCCGCGTTGGAGGAGTTTGAGGAGGACGACATCACGCCCATGGCGCACGGGAAGCTGGATGAGATTCGCGAGTACAGACATTACCACCGCATCATGGCGTGGGAGATGCCGCTGCTATCCAGTACGTTGCAATTCCCCCGTCTCTATTCCTCCCTTCAGCTCTCCAGAAGCCCCCCCTTTGCCCCCTCTCCCCTTGAACAGAACGAACGATGTGCTGACTACCGATCCAAACAGAGCTCGCCAAGCCTTTCGAGCCGCCTAAGGAGGACGAGGTGCTGCGCTTCCGGTACACTTCGTACATGGGCGAGCACCACCCGGCGGAGAAGAAGGTGGTCGTGCAGTTCTCGCCGGCCGACCTGGGACTCACCGACGCGCAGGCGGACAAGCTCCGCAAGCTTGTCGGGCCGCGGTACAACCCCGAGACGGACGTGGTCAAGATGAGCTCGGAGAAGTACGAGCATCAGGCACAGAACAAGCGATACCTCTCCAACTTGGTGGACGATCTGATTGCCAGCGCCAAAGTGAGCAATTCTCTTCACATTTCACATACATATGCCCCATTTGCAGGCCAAGTTTTGCTACGAGAACCAATGATTAACAATGGAAAACTCTACAACAGGACCCCAAGGATGATTTCAAGGATATTCCCCTCGATACTCGACACCACGTCTTCAAGAACAAGCCCAAGTTCCCCAAGGAGTGGCGCATGAACGAGGAGCGCCGCAAGGAGCTCGACGATTTCCGCCTGCGGGCGCTCGAGATCGACGCCGGCAAGCTGGAGGAGGGACAGGTCATTGACGGCACGGAGAAGATTGAGCAATTCCTCGCGGCGCCGTCGCCCGAGACGGAGGGCAAGGTGGCCGAGATGGTGGCTGTCCGGGGCCGGGGCGGTAACAAGCAAAAGGGTCTCGGCCGTCGGTAAATGGTTGGTCGTATTTGTATCATCACCCACTACCACTGCTCGGCTTGAGCGCCGTCGAATCGGTGTCTCCTCTGTCCAAGTTCTGCTTTATCGGACTTGGATGGGTGAACGCCAGAAATCTTGTGTATGACTAGGCGGCGTGGTCCCGTTTATGGGACTTTGGCCTGCCCTTGTAACATCTCCATGTATACATCCGTGCCAGATCGGAACCATAGAAATTCAAAAACACCGGTGGCTTGCGTTAGGATGCTTGTATCAATGTTTCCGATTTAACAAATCAGAGCTTTCTCATCGGTAGCGGCTTGGCCGTAGGATAACGCCGGCTGATGAGCAGAAGTTATCAAAAATGGGCGGAACCATGGATTGCTCTGACAGCATCCTCCCCGCCATTCTCATTGTGCCATAAGCTTATACGACTGGAAGCTTGTACTGACGACCAAAAAGCTTGAGGGTTGCAATCCGTGTCTGGCACATCTATTCTCGTCTGATTAATAAACAAATCGGCCATCAATGTCATTCAAATATGCATATCTCGTTGAACAGCATTCCGGGATGGAACCCACCCGCTTTCCGCGGCCATGTCTATTTTGCCCAATCGACGTTTAGAGAAACAATGGGGTTAAATCATATCTAGTGCATCGACCGAGAAAGAAAAAAAAAAAAGGGGGACCTAAGTACACTGAACCTGAGTTGGGAAGATAGACGCGCCTCTCAGGGACAGGGATTGCTTGTGTTTAGTCAGCCGCGTTGATTGAAAGGTGTTGAGTGATGATGCCTCGGCAACTTTTTATTTTATTTTATTTAGTCCTGCTCACCATTTTTTTGCAGGCACCTCACGGCCGGCAAGCACCAGATCGTGCAGGTGCAAATGGGCAGGGGGTGGCGCCCTGTACCTATGTGGGGAAGAAACGGAGTAGCGGGATTGGCGAGCGGCGGCGCCGTCTTGGGTGATCCCGTCTTAACCAAGTTAGCCTGGCACGACCTGGCTAGAGCTCCCAAGCTTTTTTTGCCTCGGACTTTAGCTAAGGAAACCTCAAAGCTCACAATGGAAGCATGCGCTCGTCAATCTTGTTAAGTGTTATCTGACATGGACCGTGAGGATGGACGGTTCACCTGAAGCTGTTAGTCTCTTCGAAAGGCTCTCTAGCTTGAGCAAGGAAGAAACTAGAGAAGAACGAAGAGCTTCCATGGCCGCGATAGTAAGTAATAGTTATGGGAGAGATAAAGCGGTTGGCAGAAGGACCACAGCGCAGGACATGTACAGGATGGGACGGTGTCCCCGTCGCAGCCCGCTCCGTCGGGACATCTATGCCTCCATTCCCTGTCCGTCCTATTGTGCGACGCCATTCGGTACGGATCAGTTGTAGCCCTCTGCCTTCCTTAACACCTACACAGTAAGGTACCAAATAAAGATGCCATGAAGGGGAAAGGAAGGACAGCAGTGCTGCTGGGTGCCGTTCACATGCGTCTAGCGCACCGCACCGTTCCCGTAGCTTCCCTGCCCGCGCCTTCTTGGGGAAACGAGTTCGTTTCCAACGTGCAGTGCAGCGCATTCGCCTCCCCTCCCCCTGCCTTCGCTCACCAGCGTTCACCATATCCCGTCCCCTCTATCTCCTTGCTAAACGGGTTACACAAGTAATACATCACCACTCGCACTCGCATCATACAAGTCCCGCCAACAACCATTTCCACCCGACATACTGCAGATAGTTCTTTTTCCGCGTCACCCACGGGATAACATTAATGCTGGCAACGTCCCAGAAGTGAGGAATTGGCAATCACCAAACGATTCAGCCTATCCCAGGGACCCGGTTAACCTTTACCTCCGTTCTCCTTAATAAGATACCTCACCTGCTAGGCCATCTCATGCGCCGAGGTTTCTAAGCCCGGAAGTCCCTGCCCGTACATCCAAGGTGCCTCTCTACCTACCTTACCACACAGTACCTCACTTCGCGTACAAACTAAGGTACCAATCCATCACACCCACGCGACACGGAGGCCGAGCACAGGTGGAGCTTTGTCGCATCCATCACTTTTCCCCCTACAAAGCTACCGACGCCCTCTGCATCTGCTTGGCTGCTGATATTTGCTACTTGGACTACGAATACATAAGTCGAGGCAACCCTTACAACTCTATCTAACACCACCAACACCACCTCCTCTTCTTTTCCGCGACCCCGAATCCCGACCATTGTCAACTTCCCCTCACGAACCTCTCTTCTCCCTAGGTCCGGTTCATCGCAACAAAGGAAGTCCAGGAAAGAAGCACTGTCCCTTACACACCGAAGAACCGTACATCTCATCGCCATCAAAATGTCGCTCGCAACCGACACAAAGATCGCCGAGTTCACTCACACCTCAACCGACGACATCTACCGCCTCACAGACACCATCCGCGCCACCTTCCGCTCTAACAAGACCAAGGATCTCAAGTACCGCACCCTCCAGCTCCGTAAGCTCTACTGGGCCATCAAGGACTACTCCCCACAGCTCTGCGATGCCCTGCGCAAGGATCTGAGGAAGTGCAAGCACGAGGCCGTCCTCTCCGAGGTCGACTGGTGCGCCAATGACTGTCTCTACATGCTCAAGAACCTCAGCAAGTTCGCCGCCGAGGAGAAGTGCGAGGATGTGCCTCTCACCTACGCCGCCCTGAAGCCGCGCATCCGCAAGGAGCCCTTGGGCATGGTTCTCGTCATCGGCGCCTTCAACTTCCCCGTCCAGTTGACCCTTCTTCCCATCATCGGCGCCATCGCTGCCGGCTGCACAGCCGTCCTGAAGCCTTCCGAGAGCGCTCCGGCCACCGCCATGGTCCTGACCAAGATCTTCGAGGTTGCTCTTGACCCCAAGGCCTACACAGTCATCAACGGTGCCGTCCAGGAGACCCAAGCTCTTCTCGACGTCAAGTGGGACAAGATCATGTACACGGGCAGCACTGCTGTCGGCAAGATCATCTCCAAGAAGGCTGCCGAGACCCTCACGCCCGTCACCCTCGAATTGGGTGGTCTGAACCCTGCTTTCGTCACCAAGAACGCCAACGTCAAGCTCGCCGCTCGCCGTCTCATGTGGTCAAAGTGCCTCAACGCCGGTCAGGTCTGCATTTCTCAGAACTACATCCTGGCCGACCGTGCCATCGTCGAGCAACTCATTCAGGGCCTCAACGCTACTTACAAGGAGTTCTTCCCCAGCGGCGCCAAGAACAGCCCTGACTTCTCTCGTATTGTCAACAAGAAGTCTTTCCAGCGCATCAAGAAGATGATTGACGAGACAAACGGAAAAATCGTCATGGGTGGTGGTTTGGACGAGGACCAGCTCTACATCGAGCCTACCGCCGTGCTGGTCGATTCCATGCTCGACTCCGTCATGAAGGATGAGTCTTTCGGTCCTGTTTTCGCCATCATGCCGTATGACACCCTCGACGACGCAATCAACATTGCGAACCAGGTATACAGGACGCCTTTGGCGCTCTTCGCTTTTGGCAATGATCAGGAGAGCAAGCGAAGTGAGTAAAGCCCTCTAATTCTAGACAGGTGACTATACTAACATGCTTCGAGTCCTCAACGAGGTGACTTCTGGCGGTGCCACCATCAATGACGGCTTCTTCCATGCCTCCATGTCGACGGTTCCCTTTGGCGGCGTCGGTGATTCCGGCACGGGCAACTACCGCGGTCGCGCGTCCTTTGACGCCTTCACCCACCGCCGCTCCGTCGCGCAGACTCCCTCGTGGCTGGAGAAATTTATCCGCGTCCGCTACATGCCGTACTCCCCCAAGGAGCTCAAGCGCCTCCAAGGCATGACAAATGACAAGCCCGACTTTGACCGCAATGGTCTTCAGGTCCGCGGGCTCGGGTACTGGGTCAAGTTCGTCTTGGGGCTCGGCGCGAAAGGTGCTACAGGTGCGTTGTTGAGATGGGTGTTGGCCCTGGTAAGTATGTACACCCTAACCCAGCGAAGGCGTTCTTAGGACTTTGATCGGATGAAGTATTGGGTTGCGAGAATGAGTTTCAAACACAAAGAGCGTTTATCACACTTCACCTCCGCTGTTTCGTCTCTCTACCCAAATACACTTTCCCAAGTGCTATCACTGTTTTTTTTTTTCCTACCAAAAGAAAAACCACAACCTCACCACAACACATGCCCTCGCGCACCGTTTCCTTTGATTGTAAGTTTAGTCCCCCTTCAGATATGACCTGCCTTGGAGAGATACTGGGGAACACGGGAAAAAAAGTTTCGACTTATTGGACACACTCGCTTGGAGTGAAGGGACTCATGTTGCTGTGATGGGATATAGCGGGTGTGAATTCTAGCGGCCAGACAAGCCTTGGTCTCATCCCCCATCTCAGACGCACCTTGTACGGTACTGTGCTATATACCATTTCCTATACGTTATGCGATAGTAATGTAAAGAAGGCAAAAAGCATGCCTTTGACGTTCGTTAAATACCGGTATGGTTCATTGGGACCTAAGCTCGTTGAATTATTATGTGATCGGTGATCAAGAAAAGTCACTCTCGTTGCATGACGCGTAGTGTTCTTCCAACTTTCATAATGATATTGAAAAGGAAGTAGGAAAAAACAACTTTGTAGATATGGATAATAGGGAATTTTACCAAAAACGAAGCAAAGTTTAAGCGTAGACGAGGAAGATTGGATTCAAACCGTCGCCTCCTAAACTCCTTAACCTTCTGCCCCCTCACGCTTTCAGTTTACGACAGAACGGAAGTGTGTCCTGACTTCTTCCCGTCCATCACTTCGCAGTACCAACAGGAACACCCCAAGACCTCCTCGCCAACTCAACGGGCACATTCATCACCAGCCTATCATCGTCTTCTTTCATCACCACTAGCGTCTGCACGCGGGGTGATTTGCTGAGTGCCGGTGACGGGTCCGGATCAAAGTAGCCCGGCCTAGCGTCCGACCTCTCCCTCTTCCTCCTTCTTCTCTTCTGCTGTCTTTGACTTCCTCCCAGCAAGGTCGAGGAGACGATGGAGGAGAGGGTACTAGACCTGGAGAGGCTGCGCGGCTGAGAAGGGGGTAGTCTTTGGCGTCGTTCTTTCACGTCTGGCGATGTCGTCTCCAAAGTGAAAGGTTTTCCAGAACCGTGGGTTAGAGCACCCGCCGTTGGCGTCCCCTTGCCCTTGCCTTTCTCCCTGGTCTTGGGAATGATCAGCCGCTCACCAACATTGCCGCAAGGAGGCCCAACACCACCTGCAACCGGACTCTTCTTGCCGCTGCGACGGCTTGGCTCATCGTCGTTGGTATTCGACACTGCAGCGAGCGCCGCGGACGCAGGGCCCTGGTCCTTAGCTAGCCATCTCGCGTTCCGGTGCGCCTTGTGTGTTCTGAAGCCGGCTTGTGCTGTGGTCTCCCCGTCGACGAAGCGTTCGAGAAAGAGTTGGAGGCGGTCGCGGAGGCGGATGAAGATGCGGGCGGGGGTCGCTCGCGGTCGTTGGTGCTGATGTTGTCGCGGGCATGGTTGGGGACTGGGAGGTTGGTGAGGTGTAGTTGTCATGGGGAATTTGGGACATATGTTTGCATGAGAGTTGGTGATGGCGTTGAAATCTCGAGTCTCTGAAGGGGTGATCTGCTTTTCGAGGTAAGAGTATGGTCGTGGGCGAGGTTGACAGACGCTGAGCTGTCTTGTCCTCCGTGAAGCCTCAATCTTCTCGGCGTCGTCCTCCGTTCCGCGAAGCCCCCCTGATTTATGAAGGTAGGCAAATGACATCCAGATCAAGACGGCCCGGGCTGTAGCACGCACACCTATCCATGTCCCACTTCCCCCGGTGATAGCCCAAGGAACAAAATTGACGAATTCCACAAAAGGAAAAAGGAAAAAGGCTTGCCGTTTTTTTCATTCTATATGTGTTGGTCTGGTAGTACAAAATCCCACCACCCGATTCCTCCCGTCGCGGGAAGAGCCAACCGTAATCAGATACCCCGGAGCTGCGTATTATCCTGCTCGTCCATCTTGCGGTACCGCTCCGCCAGCACCTCCTTGACGCTCTTGGTCAACCCGCTCGGCTTCTCGTATCGCTGGTGCAGCGCCTTCTGCACCGGCGTCGTTGCGGGCGCCACCGCGCCGTCGGCCTTGACGCTGACCTTGTCCTCGGCCACGCCCACCGCCTGCTTCGCCGCCACGAGCACCGCCTCCCCTTGCTGCCGTCCCTTGTCCACCACGTCGCCGACGACGGCCTTGACCTCGGCGGCCTTGCTGTCGACAATCTTCTTGGCCTCGGCGGCTTTCGCGTCGAGGACCTTCTTTGCCTCGGCGGCCCTGGCGCGCGCGGCCTCCTCGGCAGCGAGGCTCTTTTCCCTCGCGCGCTCCCACGCGCTGCGCGCCTCCTTCTTGACCTCCGCGCCCGACGCCTCCGCAGCGGCAGCGCCCTTCGCCGAAGCCTCCTTGACCAGCGGGACGGCCCTCTTCTCGACAGCCTGCTCCACCTCGCCGGCCTTTTCGATACTGCCTCCCCAGAAGCGCGCGGCGCCGCTCTCGAGGCCCTCGCGCACCTCGCCCCAGTCGGTGCGCTGCGCCCAGCGGACGGCGTTCTCGACCTCACGGTTCCAGCGGTCTTTGGCGGAGGTGAGGAGCGTCTCGCGGTCCTTGACGGCCTGTTCGGCACGAGTCAGGGGCGGGGGGATGCGGATCTGGGGCTCGAGGAGGGAGGAGAGGACGTGGTGTTGGGTGCGGAGGGTGTGGGATTGGGATTCGCGGTTGCGTTGGTGAGCGAGGACTGTGAGGTAGGCTACGCCTAGGGTTACGGTAACACCGCCGGTCTAGTTGATGGGGTGTGGTTGTCAGCTATGTGCTGTGCCAATTGTATGTGTATACTATCTCTGTCGTTGAGGGTCTGAAGTGAACCAGAGAGAGTGTGAGGGAGAGGAAGAGGGAGTGTAGCGTACGAATCCAGTGGTGAAGCCCATGATGGCTGTTGATCCAGTCCAAATGCGACGTGCGCAATTGAAGACCGGGATTTGATATTATAGTTCCTCTCCGTAGATTGAATTCGGCTTCAAGGTTTCATGATGCAATTGGAGCAAGCACGTCGTAGAAAGTCGAATCGAATTGGCGTTGTCGCTTGTCACTGAATTGACCTCCGAGAAGCGGGACGGGCAGCTTCGGTGCGGAATGACGTTAATTAATCGGGCTTGCGAGCGAGCGAGCGACTTTCAGCCTCCCCGGGTGGATTTCGGCGACGGGCAGGGGTCAAGGTACCTTTTTACCACCTTAGCATTTGGCGGCAGGAACACTGAACTGCAGTCCCCGCCCAATTGTCCCGCTGAGCCAACCAGAGGCTCCAAAGCACCCTGTGCCAAAAATTTGGGAAACGACAGCCAGCGGATTGCAGCGAGCGACTCCAAAGGCTCTTAGCACGGCTTTCTGACGATCCAGTTCGATTCGATAACCTCAACTGCTCCGAAGTCCTCCGACCTGTTCACCTCGCAGAGCAGCCATTCCTCTGCGACTCACAGACGAGACGAAACGGGTTGCCCCCGCCAACGTTTCTCCCTCTCTCAATTGAGACGACTTCAACACATTCACAGCAGCCATGGCGGGAGGTCTCACCAAGTACAGGCATCTGAGCCGCAACTCGTCGGCGCGACAGGCCCTGCTTCGCGGCCTTGTCACATCCCTCGTCGCCCACGAGCACATCCACACCACCTTCGCCAAGGCCAAGGAGGCCCAGCGTCTCGCTGAGAAGCTCATCACCTACGCGAAGCGCGATAACGAGGAGACGAGGCGGAAAGCTCAGGCGATTCTCTACGTGAGTTGGACACACATCCCTGGTGGTCTCGGTAGCTCTTTGAGGTGGAAGCAGCTACTGGTTCCCGAGAAGAGAAGCGGTTCGAAAAAGAATAAACCGAAACTGACAAAAGGACATAACGTTAGACACCCCACGACCTCCTACCCAAGCTCTTCGGTGAGCTCCGCACACGCTACTCCGAGCGCCCGGGAGGCTACACGCGCGTACTGCGTACCGAGCCCCGGAGCACCTACGACCAGGCGCCCTCTGCCATCCTCGAGCTCGTCGACGGGCCCCGCGACGTGCGGTTCATGATGACGGCCAAGGCCGTCGCCCACGACAAGGACTCCGGCCACCGCAGCACCGACCTGACCAAGAAGAACGTCGCCAAGGTAACGAGGTACCGCAAGGACGGCAAGACGGCGTTCGACGACATGGTGGCCAGCTTCAGGCTGCTCACGGCCCGGTCGGACGCGAAGGCGGCGAGGAAGGAGGAGTTGTTGGAGGGAGCCAAGGTTAAGGCCAAGAAGGTCAAGGCTAAGAAGGCGTAAAGCTGAGTCAAGGCTATTGGTTTGGTGCAGTCTCCGTCGATGTATGAGGGTATGTCATCCGCTGGATAGGGGCAAAGACTTTGCTCAAAGCAGAGAGGACGATGTGGCGTGAGAAGAAAATGTAACTGATAAGAATGGTGTATTATCAAGAGGGAAATACCTGGCCAGTCTATAGATTACTGTCGTGTAGGGTATACATGTATACTACGGAAGCTCCAAAGAAGACAACTTTTTAACGTCTGCCATAATATGGCAGCAAAACACATATGTCTTGCCTTCTTCTCCTTTTTCTTATACAAAATCAAAGGTATCGCCCTTCTCCTGGATCATCTTGCCCACGCGCTGCGTGCCGACCACACGCTCCAGCTTCATGACGTCGTACTTTGAGAACATGATGCGCACAGCACCCTGTCCAGGCTCAATTCTCATATCCTGCTCGCTGCGCGCGAGGTAGTCGCCCGCGATCTCGCGGTAAAAGATTGGGTTGTCTGGCAGGCCGTACATGATGACGCGCTGGACGCCGCGGATCGGCGTCCGCCGGAAGTGGTGCGCTCGCTCCGTGTAGAGGAGCACCTTGTGCCGGCCCGTCATGAAGTGGGAGCGGGCGCGCGAGGCCTCGGGCACGTCGGCGTACTCGGAGATTGTGCCAAAGGAAAGGGCGGCGACGGCCGGGTTGGCGGAGAAGTAGTTGCGCACGCGGACGAAGTCGAGGTACGAAGGGATGAAGATGAGGGTGCCCGAGGTGTCCCTCGCGCGCTTGATGAGGGAGGGGAGGATGGCCGAGACGAAGTAGTCGAAGCGCGCATCGGGCTCCTTCTCGAGGGAGCGGCACTCGAAGCGGGAAAAGGTCTGGCGGGCCTTGAGGCCGAGCTGTGTCAGGACGCCCGGGTAATCGGCCTGGAAGCGGACCTTGCCGGCCCAGTTGTGGCACTGGGTGCGGAAGAGCTCGGTGAGCTCGGGCGTATTGAAACCGGAGAGGACAATAGTCTGGCGGAAATACTTTGCCTGGTCGTCGAGGTACCAGCTGCGCACGCGGCCAAAGTCACAGCCGTGGGCGTCCTTTGGCTGGAGGTTCATGTGCTCGAAGATGTACTCGACGTGTTCCCAATTCTGCATGAGCTGGGCGTCGGCCTGGTCGACGACGACCATCTCGATGGAGCTGAGAAAGTCGTAGTCCATCTTCTTCTTGTCCTCGTCGGAGCCTATGGCCATGCGTAGGCCGAGGGGACTGGCGAGCAGGATGTCCGAGTTGTAGAATTGCGAAAAGTACTTGACGGTCTTGCGCGTGAACTTCATACCGATCCGGAACATGTCGTCGTCGTTGCCCTCGAAAAGGTCGCGGAAGTCGGCGGGCTTGTCGTCTCCGAATTTGACGTCCTCGTCGGTGTATGCATCGTCGAATCGCTTTCTGTTTTCCCGCTGGTCCGGCGCGCACATGTCCTCGATTGTGTTTGCAATCGTTAGGCAGGACTGTCTTGTTGGCAGTAGGAATAGGATCTTGGGGCGCGTGAAGCCCTGGTCTCTGAGCTCGAGATCGGCATTCTCTTCTCTCGAGAGTTTGTAGTTGTTCTTGATGACTCTGTCTCGAGTCCTGTTTGTATGTAAGCATTTGAAATTCAAGAGGCAAGTTACGTTCAGGTAGGTCCCTTACTTGAAGACGTGGTTGACGGCATGTAAGCATACAAGCTGCCGCAAGCCGTTGGAGTTCTGGGTGTTTCGGTTATCGTACAGCACGTCGTTGTAGTTGAATATCGTTGGGGCAATGGCTCCTTGTAGCGTGTCGAGCGAGCCAATCTTCCTCGAGGCGGTCTCCCGTAACTTTTGCTTAAGTTTGAGGCCATCCAGGCCAGAGATCGGCGAGGGAATCTTCGGGGGATCCGATTCCTCCACTTGAGGGTATGTTACCACCGCCTTTGAAACCTTGGACATCATCCGCTTGAAAGTCCAGTCATTCTTCTGGATCGCCTTAACTCTCTTCGCCGTCACGCCTTCGTCAGGGGTAGCAAAGTGGCTGTCGAACGGATCTGAGGCATCGACGTCGTCTTCATCGTCGCTCTGCTCCGCTTCCTCCTCGAGATCAGCCATTGGGTCTTCAGCCTCCTCGACCCTGTCAACATCTTTGTCCTCCTCCCCGGTCTCATCGCCATCAGATTCAGACTCAGACTCAGACTCGGGTCCAGACTCGGACGCGGTCTTGACGGTGGATTCTGGCTTGCCGCTCTCGAGCTTCCGTCTTTTGGCACTTGGCTCTGAAGACTCCTTAAAACCCTGGAGAAGCGCCATGTAAGGCCGTGTATTTTGAGGCTGCTCATTCTCATCCTCATCATCAGACATGGAGACATCAGAATCTTCCTCTATCTCGGAGTCTCCCTCTTCTTGAGACTCATCATCCGAAGACCTGACGGTGTTAGATTTTCACAAATTTTCACATAATGTTTGGGGAGGTCAAACATACTCTTTTTCTTCCAGACGCGCAGTATCGAACCTCCTGCCTCCTCTTCCTCTACCTCGGCCTCTTGAGCCACCTCTCCCTCTTGCGCCTCCTCTTGCACCTCCTCTGCCACCACCACGGGTACCGCCTCTGCTTCCTCCCCGGAATCCGGCCCGACCTCTACCTCTTGGGCCCATTATATCTTACTTTCTGTCACTGAAAATTTTGTGTGAATACAGAAAGATATGAGCTTTCGAAAAACAGGGTACAAAAAAAAGTTGTTCACCGAAGCAAAACTCATTCACTTGGTCGACGGGAAAAAAGTTGTAAGTCGGCCATATCAGCCTTGCAGAAAATCCCACACTGGTCACTAGCCACAGCGGGGCACATACGCCACAGAGACCGTTATCTTGTCTTATCTTAGCGCGCACAACCCAGTAGGGGCCAACCACAAATCGCAAAATCGGCAAACCGCCCACTAGGAGAAAGCGAAAGAGTTCGACGATTTTTTGAAGCGACCTATCGCGAAAAAACGCTCCGACCAAAGACCCCAAACCCACTCTTCAATTTTTGGCCCGCGCATCACCACCAACCCGAAACCCGCCCTCCCCCTCCCCTCCTCTTCTCGATATCTCCTCCTCAACCGCAGGTCTCCTCCCTTCGAAAGAACCTCGACGACCCGAGATCCAACCTGCCCAGCATGGCTGTCGCTGAAACTGAGAAGTTCCTCCACCTCTCGCGGCCCATCGCGCCGGCCACGATTGGCATCCCAGGCAACATTGCCCCGCTCACCGTCAACATCCAGCCCCAGGTACGACACCTCTTGCTACGCTGCAGGACCTGATATCATTACCCGAGACATGTCATAGACCTTGACAAAGTCATGACATATATACACATCCATCATCAACACAGCTTACCCCCCGTGGGGAATCCCAACTACTCGTCGCTAACCCCACCTCCCCTTTCCAGGCCATCCTCTCCATTCTCGACCATGCCGTGCGAAGAGACATCCGCGATACGCAATCAACCCGCGTTATCGGCGCCCTCGTTGGTGTCCGTTCCGAAGATGGCACCGAGGTCGAAGTGCGCTCCTGCTTCGCCATCCCCCACACCGAGAACGAGGACCAGGTCGAGGTGGACGTCGACTACCAGAAGAACATGCTCGCCCTCACCCTCAAGGCCAACCCGCGCGAGTCCCTGTTGGGTTGGTACACCACCACCCACGAGCTCAACTCCTTCTCCGCCCTGATCCAGAACTTCTTCGCCTCCCCCGAGACCGGCACCTTCCCCCACCCCGCCGTCCACCTCACCATCAGCACCGACCCGACCTCCGATATTGAGGCCCGATGCTACATCTCCGCCCCCGTCGCCGTCAACGCCGAGCGCGCCGCCGAGAGCTGCCTCTTCATCCAGGTTCCCCACAAGCTCATGTACGGCGACGCCGAGCGCAGCGCCCTCGAGGCCATCTCCATGGCCAAGGACACCGAGGACCGCACCGCGCCCGTCGTCTCCGACATTGAGGGCCTCGCCCGCTCCATCGAGTCCGGCGCCAACCTCATCGAGCGCGTCAGCGACTGGGTCAACGGCATCCTCGACGAGGACGAGGAGCCCAACCAGGCCCTCGGCCAGTACCTCATGAACGCCCTCTCCCTCGCCCCCAAGGTCGACCCCGAGCAGATTGAGCACGACTTCAACAACCACATCCAGGACGTCCTCATGGTCTCCTACCTGGCCAACACCATCCGCACCCAGATTGACCTGTCGCAACGGCTGGCTGTTGCCAACCTCACCGGCGGCGAGAAGGACGGCGAGGGCAAGACGACCGAGGGCGGCGAGAAGGGCGAGCAGCAGCGGGGTGGTCAGCGCGGCGGCAAGCGCGGTGGACGCGGCGGCGGCCGTGGTGGTGGTGGCCAGAGGGGAGAGCCCAGGGAGCCCCGCGAGCCTCGCGAGCCGAGGGAACCTACCGAGTAAAGAAAAAAGGGGCAAGCTAATTTGTTTTGAAAAAAGAAAAGAGAGAAACTCCCTCTTAAACACGCAAAAGCCATGTGGAAGAGAGGATGGAACCAAACTTAACCCCCCAAAAAAGGATAACAGGAGGTCGAGAAGTTGAAAGAGACCTAGGACAAGCTAGCCCGCGATGCTGGGGAATTTTCTGCCGCAAGGTTAGCAAGCATGGCATCATGAGGAACCCACACTTGATAAAACCATCATGGCGTTATGGCAGTGGCAGAATTAGACGGCCTAGGGTAGAATGCGCTAGGCAGTTGCAATGATGATTATTCACGCTTTCATGCAAATATTCAACACACACGCACACACACACACAAGAGACGTCTGTTCAGGATGCGGCGCATGTAAATTTGGAAAAAGGTTTGAGTGATAATTAAGGTGCGTAAGTGTTCTAGCATGCAATAGCCTACATGATCTGATGCCATCCTATCCCTCCTGTGTAAACGCCAGTATGCTGTACCTTTGAAACCCCTGTACGCCGTTCATTCTGCCATGGACCGTCCAACAACATCAAGCGCGTACCTAAATACCCATGTTTGGCTTTTGCGGCAAAGTAGCAGGGTTGCCGTAGTGGGGCAGGTGGCTGAACGTCTGTCCAGCCGGACCCTGAGGGATGGCGGGTTTATTGGGAATATGAGGGGAGGGGTTTTGTGGGATGTGTTGCGGAGGATGTTGAGGGATATGATGAACCGGTGCTTGAGGCATAGGGTTCAAGTGATGAGGGTGCTGGGGCGGAGGCGGGTGGTAGGAAGGAATCGAGTTGTTCGATCCTTGCCTCGCCATGGCATAGCCGTAAGGTGCTGGTGGTCCTTGTTGCTGGTAGCCGGCGTATGCCAGATGAGGTGAGCCGATCTGGGGGCTACCATGGTGAGATCCAGGAGCACTGAAAGGCGGCTGTGGTGGCTGCATCGGAGACATGCCACCCCCAGGAACGAATGACTGCGTCTTGGGGTTAAAGGCGTGGCGATTGTAGCTGCCGGGGATGGGATGCTGGCTCTTTGGGTCGTTCGGGTTGATGTTGGCCGGCAGCTGCCCATACATGTACGGAACAGTGCTTTGACTGGGCGGCGCTGACATGCCTCGAGGGGTGTAAGCCGTGGCATTAGCCGTCGAAGGTGGAGTCATCGGCACCGGCGCGGGTCCGAACCCTGGTTGTGGTTGCCAACCTTGCTGTGGAGGAGTAGGGCCAGAACCACCATAGCTCCTTGCATTCGGAGGCGCTTGGAACTGGGCCTGATTTACCGGAGGCGGATACTAGCCCCGATCAGCTTCATGAAGTTGAGAACGGAAGGGCTTGCTTACCGGCGTCATGTTAGGATAGCCCGCATTGTAGCCCGCGTTAGGCATCATTGGAGCAAATGTTTGCGTAGGTGTAGTATTGTAAGGGGCTGCGGGAATTTGGTTGGGATACGGCTGCTGCACTGGCGCACCATACTGGTTTGCCACAGGAACATACTGAGGTTGAGGCACCCAAGTCTGTTGCTGCGGGCCCCAGTATGGCGTGTAGTTGTGCCTCGAGTCGAAACTGTCTGAATCATCCCGTCTCTGCTTCCCAGTCTTACCCCGTTTGCTGACAGCAGGCTTCTCCCTCGCAGACACGGAGCTGGCACGTGAAACGCCATTTTCAATTTCGTTATCTTGGAACGCGATTAGTGGCGGCCCGAAGGAAATGTTGATAGTCACACATACCAGGCGTAGATTCGCCAGTCTTCTCAGAATTGCCGAATATCCTCTCTCGGGCTTGCTTGTACGCTTCTTCACGCTGCTCTCTCGACAATCTGAACGAGTCAGCAAGTTGCAATCGTTCGAGAGGGTAGGGTAAAATACTTCTGATTTGCCGCAGCAGACTTATCCTTAGAGTCACTGCCGGTCTCAGACGTGGCCTTGGATGGAGAAGCGCTGTTGCTACCGAATTCCCCATCCTCCCCACGTCGCATGATCTTCCGCGGCAGGACCGCTGGAGGAGGAGTCGTTTCGGCATTGGTTTCTGGAGCAGCGATACTAGCAAGCGACTCAGGTACTCTGGCGTAAGGGGTTCTGAAGATTCGAACAGATCCCACACGAGCTTCATACTGATGCGTCATGCGGTAGTAGTCGGCCAGCTTATGTGTAAGCATCCTACAAAATGAATTTGAAGGTGGAAAGTCCATGTATGGGTCTCTGATATCGCTGTTAATGACTGCACATGGTTTCAATCCGTGGGTACTCACTTGGAATTTTGAACAAATTTGATCAGTTCGGCCTCCAATCGCAACAGAAAAAGCCGATCCTTCGGGGAAGCCATAGCCTCCAAGAGCTTTTCATCCGGTGCCTGTCCATAAATGGTATTCAAGAGATTGGCAGAGTCGGGGAGATTGGCGGACAGAGCGTTAGGGATAGGCATCTGTGGTTGATCTGACGAAGCACTCTGCGGTGTAATCATGCCTTGGCTTAAAGAGCCGGAGATGGGTTGGGCGAGACGGCGGTCGGGCATGTCGCCAAGCTGGATGATGCCTCTAGCACGCGCCGCAATGTCGGAACCCATTCTGGAGTTTGGTAAATTTGGCCCTCGGAATGAAAAGGAATCGTCATCCTCTGCAGCGGCGGCTTTGACGCTAGCACTGTCATCCGGCCTCAGGGATTCCTTCTCGTCCAGCGCAAAGGTCGTTCCCGACGTGATACTCTTTCCGTCCAGACTGGGAGGCTTGGTACCGAGCTCCGAGCTGGAGTCAGCTCTCTGGGAGTCGTCCGATCCATCCTTGGTTATAGATTTTGATCGATCAGCGTACGAAGGGCCCGTTCCGTTCACAACAAGGCTCGGTGTCGGTTGCCCAATGCTCAAATCCTTCAATCCATCCAACACGGCACCGGTCGCATCGGGCTTCTTTGATATGGTGGGCTCGCGCTTAGCGACAGACGGCGCAGACTTCGTAGAGTTCATGATTGCGGATTGGCGAGTATCAACTGCGTCTGAAGTAGCAGACGCGGTTATAGAGGCAGCACCGTTAGGAGAAGCTTGGCTGGGGCGGGCTTGGGCTGGCGCAGCAACTGGTCTGACGGTAGTGACGGGTTGGGAATCTTTTGATGCCGATGCAGCAACCTAGAATAGCGCAGAGATTGTCAGCATTCATCACTAGGCAACTACTGAGCTTCGGGAACGAGGGGTAACTCGGGAGCAAATCGCACCTTTGCGAAAGATGGCTTAGGAATGTCAGATGACATCTGAGTTGTAGCCATAGCCGGAGAAGAGGTTCGGAGGATGGCCCAACTTCAGCCGTGGGTAGTGAGATGGATATGAAAGTCGTCCGCTGAAGGAGCTTCGCGCAGGTAGGATGGTAGGCGCGCGACGAGACGGAATAAGAGTCCGGGTCGAAAAAGGATTAAAGACGAGGTCCGAAAGCAAGGAACAAACTGGATCAAGGCGAGCCTGCAGAGGAAGAAATACCGTGGATCATCGTCGGGACGAGGTCGTCATCGTAACTGTTGTGTTCCTGAATGTTGGATGAATGATGGACCCAGTTTCTCGTTGCAGGGGAGAAATGGGAGTTGTCCGTTGCGTGTTTCGTCGTCGAATAGATGTGCGCCTGAGTGACTAACCGTCAGTGGTTGTGGGAAAGGTTTGGTTGCAGGAAGCTGGTAGATAGTCGCGCAGCGGTTGAGACGAGGCGACGTGAAATTTTGGCGGCCTGCGAGGCGGATAGTCCGTCACGGGCTTGGGGGAGAGGGGTGTGGTGTGGGTGGTGTGGTGTGGTGCAGACGATGGTTTAAGGTAGTGGGAGGGAATTGGCAGAGCTGTGGTGTGTGGGTTTTTGGGATTGCGCTGCAAAGGGAAAAAGAGGATGGAGAAACTGGAGAACGGAGCCAACGACTTCTCAGCTTCTGGTTCACTCACCCTGGGTAAGTTGCAGTGCGAGATCAATCACTCATGCACCCCTCACTCGCTAAGTTGAATAGGTACTAATATCCGTAATCCGATGACAACGCTATGTCTCAATCTCTCACTCGTGTTGCGTGAGGCCCTCTCATACACATGCGGATACACACACTCTCTCTCTCTGTTCTCTCAGTTGCGAGGTATCTCCGGTCGCAGAGAGGTAGTAGAGAACCTTAGCGAGAAGCTTCAGTGTTGGCAACTCCCAATCGAGCGGACAACGGTCTCAAGTCGATAAAAGTGGTGTCAGACGGCTGCCATCCCCTCCGCAACCTCTTGTGGGACGTCAGACTGAAGAGTCGGGTATGATTGGGAATGCAATACGGGAATTCTGATGAGCATCAAGCCAGTCTCGGGCCTGGGTAGGGTGGGTTGGTTGGTGAAAGACAAAAAAGACCAGAGGCTGTGCCGAGAGTGGCTTAGTGCCGGCAGATTCCTAACGGAAACCTTAGGTTTGTGGCTGGTGCATCTGGGGCTGGTGCAGTGTTTCCGATCATTTCCTCTGCCTTACGTAAGCGTCTGACTTGCTCATCGTTGGAGCCAAACCTCATCCCTCTGTCGCTGAAGTTAACCACTTTCGACAGAGCTGGTTACAATTGTAATTCAGCTGACAACTGCGAAACACCAAAACAGCCTGTCGCTAATAATAAAACACCATCGTTGCACCAAAGTCTCGCGTCCCAAGCGAGGAAACGGAAGAAAATCTCATCTGCTTGATCTCACCATATCGGACCATCGATCGCCATCCAGACTTACAATAGTACGATTCCAACAAGGGCCTGATTGAATACGCCAGCGCAACGACGGCTATTCAAATTAAGACAAACCCTTCGCTCAAGTAGCGAGTTCATTCAATGCACCCATACAGAGGCCGTGGCGGGCCTCGCCAGTCCACCCCAGCAAACGTCCAATGTCAAAAGTGTCTCAAAAGAGATAAGTCTACAAGCTAACCATACGTTGCAAACATCAAGCTGACTCTCACAGAACGTCACTACTCTTATGAGTGCAAGGAATCGGCTACGGCCCGACCATACGTGTCTCGGCCGTCCCGAACTCAACAGCTACGCAACCCGAAGCTGATGCCCAAACTGACAAACGATGCGCCAGATGACGCGCAAAGAAAGTCAGTTTCTCACCTTCGTTTGTATTTCATGTGTTCAATGTAGCTAATTCGTGGAGTAGAAAAGGAATCGCTGACGAGGAGCTCGCGAAGAAGGAAGCTGAGAGAGCGAGAAAGAGGGAGCTAGACGAGAGAGACGACGAACTCATTAGGCAAACAGAGAGTAAGCGCAGACGATCCGAGTCTGTTGACTCCGTTTCCACCATCTCAACAAACCGCTCTGTCTCGCCTCCACCTAGGCGGCGCTCACCATCTCCCGCCTCTGCTCCGCGGAGACAGAGGTCGTTTAGTCCGGAGAGCGACGACGGTCGCTCTGTCTCAAGAAGGTCACCAGCAAGCAGACGTACTCAGTCTCCGCCTCGACGCCACCAGAGATCACTTTCTCGGGACAGTGGTTCACTCGTCGGAATCCAAGAGCAAAACTATCGTCAGAGGGATGCGGATCACGCTAGACAAACGGCTGGGGGTCATGCGCGCTACTCGCCCGATTCCAGGGATTCATCCACCTCCGGACGTGGTGGGGATGCTGTTGGCCGCAGGCGGTCGTTGTCCCGGTCCCCCAACCGTCGTGGTGCGAGGCCACAAAGCGGCCCAAGTCGACGTGCTGGCATAAATGACGGATATCGAGAAGAGCCTCAGCCTACACTGGGCCGAGGTGGTGGGAACCAAAGGCAGGTTGGTGGGTCTGAGCGACTGCCAGAACGAGAGCGCAGTCTTAGTCCATTTTCTAAGAGACTGGCATTGACACAGTCCCTGAACAGGTAGTTATTGGGTATCAATTATTCGTAGGCCAAATGGAGTCTATGCCTGCTCCCGCAACCGTAAAATACAAAAGCGTTCTACTACTCGCGCCAGGGTTTGCTGCTTAAACAGCCAAATCTTCATCCTCCTCGTCGGCATTCTCTCGTCTCTCGTCCTCTTCTTCCCTCTCGCGTACGCGCACTCCTTCCACTAATGCGATACCATCAATTCCAGCCGCGTCGCCCTCCCTGCTCCCAGCATCGACTTGTTTGGTCTGTGTAGCCGCTTTCTGAGCCCCTGTGATGCGTTCTCTCACCAGCTTCGCAATAGCATTGTCCGTCCGAACGTTGAGAATGTCCAGCTTCTTCTCCAAGTCTCTCTTCAGGTCCCAATTCGGCTTTTTCGGTTGAAGCTTGAACAAGTCGATACCCTTGTCGTCCTGCGCGTCTTCGGCTGCTTTCTGCTTCACATCCTCCTCAATGTCTGCCGCGAGCTCTTCGAGTGTGGGATTCTCTAGGTCTTGGGTCGGGGGCGCCTCGAAGCCAAGCTTGGGACCACGCGTTTCTGGGTCGTAGTTGCGCCCGGAAAGGTGCAGTTTTGTGACGTCTGGCTCAGTCGGGGGCGAGGCTGCGCGTTCTGACTCTGGCGCAACGATCTCGTCCGCAGGTTGTTTTCTCTTGAGGTTCTTGAGCTTTGCGAGGCGCGCTTTGCGCTCGTCTATCACCGCGCTAAGGGTGGCTTGGGAGCTCGACATGATGCTCTAGCTGAGAAGGCTTATCGCAATGAACAATATTGTGGTATGTCGGTCGGATGTTCCTCGAATTGGGGTATAGGTGAGGTTATGGCTTTTGGTGAGCGCGTTCAATCGAGAGTTTGATGGTTGAAAGTTCAAGTTCGGGTCGTAGTGGGGCGAGCCATTGCTACCCGCGGGATACTTCTACGAAATGCGCTAGCGGACGCACGGTCTTTCAACCTTCAAAATCGCATTTAGCTCGCCAGGGGTCTAGGAGAAGCTACCGTCTGTCGCAAAAAAATAAAATACCTAAGACTCCAGTTCAACGTCAAACTACGGATATCTTACCCCCAATGCTCCAAGACAGTTAACGAAATCACGGTCGCGCCGTCGTCGCTCGAATGCCGGCGAAGCTATACCTGTCCGTAACGACCGGAAGCTCTGGCTGTAACGCCCTGATATTACACCTGCGATGTCGCACTCCTTAGCAGGCCGACAATGTCTACGACACATCCGACAACGCGGCAACCTCGCAGCGAATAATTATATCCAAACCTCCTTCCAAGCTCGACCTAATACCTCTTCCGCTTTAGGACCCTCCATAGAACGGCCGTTTCGCATTCGCAAAATAAAAAGATTAGTCGAGTCGGGATCGAGAAGCGCGCCAACGCCTATCGGAGCACCCATCAATGCCGAAGCAAGCCGGAGACGAACAGAGTTCGCCTCCAAAAACATCGACACATGGTCACCTCAGAATGGAGGGGAGAGGAAGAAGAAATATGAGTTCACATCAGGAAATGCCGACACATGGATTTCTGAGCTCGTAAAAGAGAGGAAGAGAAGATACCTGGAATATGGGTACCTCCGCCATCGCTTGACCAAGAAGGAGTTGAAGGACTTTGAGAATTGGAAAAACGACTGTAAAAGGCTGTACGGATTTGCATCTTTCGGCGAAGGCTACAAAGTTCCAAAAGTCCTCAGCTGGATCCAAGACCGTCAAGCCGTTGAAGACGCAATCGAGCAATGGCCGACTTGGACTGAGGAGCAGAAGAAGACAAAGTGGCGAAAGCTCATGTTCTCTGCTTTATGGTCTTGCCCTGATCGGGCTGCAGCCATCCTCGAAATTACCACCCGCGATATCAAGCCGCCGGGTTACGCCATCAGTGATGCTATTCACTTCCTCGCAAAATGGCAAAGTCAACTATCCAAGCCTGAGTTTACTGAGCAGAGAAGGCATCTCTGCAACGTGGTCGTGACGGTCTTTGAACGTCTACCTGCGGCCTATATTCCCCTGAGGCAAAACACCATCTACATGCTGACGCATGAGGCAGAATTGCCCATCTTGATTGCCCTTTATGATTGTTGGAGGGGAAAGGATGTTCAACTCCACAGCAACACTCTCCAAAACATGGCCAGACGACTTGCAGTCAGCCCCCTGCATAAGAACTTGGCTCTACAGATGGCCATCGAGTCTATCCCAGACCAAGGTGTTGATCTCGACTCAGGCCTGTGGGCATCTTTGTGTACCTCAATCTTGAGTCTGAAGCGTGGCCAAATCAAGGTTGACGACGGGTTTTCAGCTGCGGACGCATTCGTCACCCTGATAGAGCACGGCTTTGCTCCCAATATGGTACACTACACGGCAGTGATCAGGTCGCTGTGCCTGACAGATCAAAATGAGGTTGCAGAGGAGGTCTTCCAGGTTATGCAACGGCACAATTTTGAACCAGACATGATCATGTGGTCTACTCTGTTAGATGGAGGAAAGCGAGCTCTTTCACCGTCGAGTATCGAATCTGCCGTCATAGGAGCTGTCGAGGGCAACGAGATTGATGTTCCCTTCTTCAACGACCTACTGATGTGTCTGCTTCACTTCTGCAAGTGGACGCCCGGTGTCATGCCGGCCTTTGGGCCAATGTTACACTTCTACTCAAAGGTGTTCCATTTGGCACCATTACAGGCTCTCCTTCCTGTGGACTTATCAATGTACCTCGAGGGTCAGGAAGGTCTGCAGATGCCAGCCGACTGGGAGTTGGCTCGACAATTATTTCCGGCACTCGACAGGGCCATGTCTGCCGTCTATGAGAAGATGGAACCGACGAGTGCCACCCTGAGCATCATGTTCCTTGCATACGTGAGGAGCATGTCGCAGCCCATCAACCTCATTTCGCTATACGCGTACCTCAGACAGGAGATTTTGAAGGGCAGCCCCAGCGCTACCAAGCTGGTCCAGGAGAAGGGATCATTCATGTACGACGTCCTTATCAAGGCGCTCTGCAAGCACCCAGGCATGCTCCGTGCCGCGTTGGATATTGTCGGCGACATGCTCAAGTACACGCTTGAAGAGCGGAGCAGAGCAGCCGACGCAGCGAAGCAATCCTCGAAAGGCAGAAGAGATAGCAGGAGAACCGAGGTCAAGGAGACCGAAGTTCAACAGACCGGGGCTCAAGATAGCCAAGCACAGGAGAGCAAAGTCCAGGAGAGCGACGCCAAGGAGACCGAGGTTGCTCCGGCGCCACTGCACCCTGCTCCCAGCGTTTTCACCTGGAGCATCCTCCTGCACGGCTTCAGCAAGGAGAAGGGATCCGGTGAGCGAATCCTCGCCCAGATGCGCCAGCACGGCGTCGAGCCGAACTTGGTCACCTGGAACACCCTGATCGCGGGCTACGCCAGGGCCCAGGACGTCAACAAGACGGTTCTCTCCCTACAGCGTCTCGAGGCCTCGGGCCACGAGGCGGACGACTTTACGCTGCGGGCATTTTCTCGGCTGGTCAACAGGGAGCTCGCACTGCGGAAGATGGAGGACGCCCTGACGCGGAGGGCGACGCGGGACGAGATAAAGAGGCTTGAGGAGCAGAGGATGGCGGAAATGCCGCTTGGCCCTGAGGTGAAGGGGAGGCTGAGCGTGCTGTGATCAGCGGGCGATCAAAATGGCTTTTGGAGCTGACGAGACGTTTGAATTATTTTTGAATGGCAATATACCCACTCTTCTTCTTTATTCCAGACGACGAACAATTTCCGTCTCTTGTAGTTTGTCTGTGACTCAGTGTTTGCTATGAGGCTTGTAAAACTACTTTCCGAGCTTCACCTATGGGAGTGTGTCAAAACCTTGGATAAGTACAAGTGGTATTCCCAGTCATGCAGCTAAAAGTGACTTCGAAAGGAAAAGTACGATTCGGTGCACTTGGGGTTTAATAGAAGCTTGGGAGAATGTGACAAAGCCGCTAGCAAGCATGAAGCTCGGTTGCTTCATGTCTCGACAGCGATCGCCAAGACTTGATTCCCCTTGTGTGGGTGGTATATATATACATGGAGGTTATTGTATGTCTCTACCACTTCTGTACCGTGAGCCTCAAACAGATTACGAGGTCGACATCTCCAGTCTATGGCTGCACGACGGTCTGGTAAAACACAACTTAGGAATACCAGCCCGATTTCACATTTCATTCCGTGCTGTTACCATGTACCCCCCACCCCCATCCCATCTCACATTCGTTCTTTCCTACCTCCAAGCACTGCTCAATCCGGTTCTGCTACAGGCTTTCTCAACTTTTTCACTAGGCCTTAATATCACTTACTGGCAATCGGATGAGACAGCCCTTGCGTATTGCCACTCTGGAACGGTCTTGTTTGAAGTCCTCCAACATAGTTGTTTGTGAAGTTCAATGATGACAAGGAGCTCAAGTACCTTACTACGAGCTGAGTTTCACGTGCGGCCGGGCTTGCTATACCCATCCCATCTGATAATGGGCACGTATGCGGCGCATTTAACTATAAATGGAAGCTTTCTATCAGACCAAATTGGTGGACAAGTAGTTGGGAACTAGCCCTTTCACGAGACTGGAGAAATATCGCGAAATGTGACTTTTGGGGCGCACAATAACTGGACGCCTCGCCGCGCAAGACACAAGCAAGAATTCTAACATTCGACGTATGCTTCATTGACCGAGCCTCGCTTTTCGTAGCTACAATTGGTGTGTATATCATTACAAATCCGTTGCCCAACCCCTGGCCGCAATGGCCTGACGCAATGAGCAATTTGGAAGCCTGCCTCCCTCTTGAAGAGGCCTTTACCAAGCACTGAGCATGGCCGATTGACCCTTTTCTGCTCTTGGGGAACGCAACAAGCACGCCCAAACCCGTTTTTTGATTTCCCTTATGTGAGCTTCTGCTTGATGAAGAATGACCGCAGGTGAGACAATTGCCAGGTGCATGTAACAGCGAGGACGGTAAGCTGGATAAGCATCCATCTGATGACACGGGCGTTGGTGGATTCGGACTGGTCTCTGAACTCGGCTTCGCGTTCCTGGTTCGTTTTTATTAGCATTGCATGGTACCTTGATACACCATTGGTGCGCCATTTCTCCCTTCCCAAAGATTGAGAGAGAAGGTTTCTTTCTCGGCTCTGATGGTGGGAGACTTACACGCTGGAAGACTTGCTCCCTGCGAATATCCTGCAGACGAGCGTTGAGGTCCTTGACGCGGGTCGCGATGTCCTCAAGCTTGCTCTTGTCGGAGCTCTCAATCTCGGTGCTCTCGCCAATAGCAAGGTCAAGTGTCAGACGGATGCCACCGTTGTGGGAGTGGAGCGAGAGCCAGCCGGCGCGGCCAGAGGTGGAAGACGGGGTGAAGCAGAGCATGTGGTCGCCGGCGTCGGCAGCCGTGAAGGTGAAACGGCCGGATGCCTGGCCGCGCTGAGAAACTACACGGTGGTCGTTGTCGAAGGTTTCCTACGTGGTGGACTGTCAGCGTGGATTTCTTCCTGCTCTTTTGGGCAAGCCAGTGAATGTGACCCAGGTGCCCATAGCTATATGATAGCTCCAAAGGGGGGATGCAAGACAAAGGGGGTTGACTTACATCAACGGAAATGTAGATGCTGAGACCATCGTGCTTGGCCCACTGGTTGATCCGGTCGTCCCACTCCTCGGCAGTGTAGTGGCCAACGACGAGCGTGTCCTTGGGGAGCTCCTCGAAGAAGCACTTGGGCGAGGTGCCGTCGATGTAGAAGTACAGCGCCTGGGCGACTGCGCTCAGAGAGAGCAAGGGGAGAAACGGCCTCATATTGTCGACGACGGAAGCTTAATGCGACTGATGAACTGTAGGGCGAACCGTAGGTTTATCGGGGCAGGGTCGATTCGAATTCGCGGTGCTCGTCGTCTGTCGGCTGTCGAGGGGGTTGAATTGGAGATGCTTCGTTTCTTCGAGTCGACAGCGCCAGGTCAGCCAGTTCGCTCGGGTATCCACATTAAAGTCCCAGGGTGCGCGGGAG